GGGCCATGTTTCACAAAAGCTTGTGGAACCAACCGTGGACGAAATTCTTAGAAAATGTTCATCTTTTTGTTAATTAATCTTCTCCATTAACCATGAAAAAGCCTGAACCATGAAATAGCTGCCAGAAAATTACATTTTCATGATAATAGAGTTCATGCCCTGAACCTTCTGAAAAGTCACGAGAATTAAATATATTTTTCTTACATGAACTTTAATTTGTAACATATTTGCTACATCAAGCATTCTTCCACTTTTTTGCAATTTATTGCTTAAAGAATGTATTGTGAAAAAATAAAAATGGAGAATCTTACTGATGTAGAAGTCTCAAAACAGGGTAATGAAAAGTGTTGACATTATTTTGTTCAAGCTGAGATATTAGCTCTCTAAAGTTACTTATATCTACCAACACAGAGAACTGCTGACTGTACAATAAGCCTACTCTTCAGTCTAACAGTACAGATGGTGTTGATGCTCCGTCAATGCTCCAATTAAGCCCAGATGGAAAAACATCTGAAAAACATGAGTTTTGTGCAGATGTTCATCCGTCAGTTATCTCAAACTTCCGACCTGAATGCTATCGTGCTAGCATGATTAGCTTTTAAAGTGGCAGACGTGCGATCTTCATGAATCTTGCACGTTAACTTGCATCCTGTGATTTAATGGCTACTTAAGTGGAGTTTGCACTGAATAAAAATGTAACACGTTCCAAATCATTATTCATGAATAATCATAATTATTCAGTTCATTTGTCCAAGATGAGTGTGTCCTAAGAGAGAGGAAGACAGTGTTACTGACAGACTAAGAGATAAGCACATCCACCATGACATTGGTTCTAAATGCAGCATTTTGCGCTTTAGCCACCACGTTAGTTTTACTGGAGGCAAAATTAATCATATTTGGTTGAGTGTAGAGTGCTAACTTATTTGCTAATGCTAGCAACCTTGCTCTTCAATCAACTTTCTCACTCAGTATGTGTTAACAGACCTCTCTGCACTGAATCGTACTTGTTATTAATCTCTGTCTCTCTTCCACAGCATGTCTTTATCCTGTCTTCCTTCTCTCACCCCAATCGGTCGGAGCAGATGGCCCCTCCCCTCCCTGAGCCTGGTTCTGCTGGAGGTTTCTTCCTGTTAAAAGGGAGTTTTTCCTTCCCACTCTTGCCAAAGTGCTTGCTCATAGGGGGTCATATGATTGTTGGTTTTTTTCTCTGTGTTTATTATTGTAGGGCCTACCTTACAATATAAAACGCCTGACAGTCACATTTGTAAATTAGTGCTAAAACTTAAAATAAAAGAATTCACTACCCAAAACTGGAGTGCAAAGTTCAATACAAGAATAATTCAAGAAGATATTTCTAACCTATAGCACACACATGTCAGAGGTCCAGTTCAGTGACTCCAGAGTTGCAGTGGCAGCCAGCTCCATAGAATAGAATAGCTCTTTATTGTCAAAGTACAACTGAATTATCCAGTAACCAGATGATGATTTATAAAAAGAAAATCATGTCCTGCATGGTTGTTAATGGTTGTTATGACACAAGAAACTATCCATAGAGGCCAACCAACTCTTCAGAGCTGTAAAGTTGGGTATTTTAACTCTAAGGACTGACTGTCTCAAGTGTGAGTTAGTGGAGCTGCAGTTTTTGGCACTTCATTTGTTCGGCCGTGGAGGTTCCCACTTGGTGTTCCCATCTTTACAATCTAAAACTGTATTTGCCCTGCTGACTTTAATGTTTCATTTAAAAGGAAAGTCCACTGTGAAATTTAACACTCCCTTTTGCCCAAGAAGCTTTTTATCCAGCTAGATTGTTTCGTGCCGAGTTGTCCAGTTTTGGAGAAAAGCACAACAAGCCTCTCTCATGCCGATTGTAGTTTGGTAGTAAGAAACTACACAAAAATGCACAACAAGGTTTATGGATTTTTCCCCAACAGGGTTGAAATTTCTGGAAAGACATTTAGTGCTTCTGAGTTCTTAGTGCCTCAAGGCAAAGACCATTTAGTTTCATTATATTTGAGAGAAGATCGACATGTCAATATCTCCCAAACCAGCAAAAAACAGTCTAGATGGACAATTTGGGCCAAGTAGTTCAAGCCAAGTAAGTTTTGTTTTGTTTCTTTTTTAAGAGCAGTATCTGATTCCCTTAACTATTATATTAAGTATTATAGCCAACCGCATTCTTTTTTACCGTTTTGAGTTTTCACGGTACTTGTGGCTGCTCCTTTAATTCCTCCTCATCAGGATGGATCTGTTGATTGGGTACAGATTTTACACTGGATGGCATTCCTAATGTAACCCTCCCATTTATCCAGGCCAGACAGACACTAGGAGTGCAATAGTTTGTGACCCATGAGGCTGTGTTTGTGTCCTGTCCCACTCGTGAATGGGGGCTCTTTTACACCCAAGGTGAATATACCTGCTACTCCATCACTGAGCCAAGTTTTAAGTTTTCAAAATAAAACATAATTTACACATTTATTTTGCTTTTCCTACTATATCAAGCCACTGTTCCAAAACAAAGGTGAATATAAAGCCATGATTTTTTAATGTGTTACAACCCTTTGGTCAATCCCTATTCTTAACAATATGAATCACAGACAGTTGGCTATCCTCTTTGGCCCCACCAAAACTTGACATTTAAAGGGTACTTGGTCTTAAGTGCTGTTCAGAGAAATAAATGTAAAAGTTTAAGAGCATTTGTCGAGAAAAAGTCTCAGAAATGACTTTTAAAGGGGACCTAGGTCAATATTTATGGTCACAAAAAAGCTTCTGCTGAGATTCAAACCTTCTGACCTTTAAGGTGCATGATGTTCTCTGAACATAAAGCCACGTCATAACCTCTCCTACCCCCCCAATCAATCAAAACACTTCACCTTCCACTCTTAGCCTCTCATGACTCCCCCGTCCTCCCATTCAGAGCTGTAAAAACAGGCTTTTACATCAGAACAGATGCAGCATCATGGCACCATTACACTGCATCCATCAACACCTCTGTGCACCCAGCTAAGAAGGGGTGGGGGTGCAGTGCATCCTACTCGTGTAATTAAGTAATTACACACAATGTATGATGGATTCCTGTAATGGTTTATTTTTGAAACTGTTAATAAGTCAAATTGACTGAGGGTGTAATCAGATGTATGATCTGTTGGCTCTTTTTTCATGAATACTGGAGAACACTCGAGTAGTTTAGTTTTAATTCTATTTAATTTTATTTATATAGCATTAGATCACAACAACAGTTGCAACGAGGTTTATATTGTAAAATAAAGACGCTGCAATGATCGAGAGAAAAACCCCAACAATCAAATGATCCTCTTTGAAGAAGCACTTTGGCAAGAGTGGGAAGGAAAAACTCCCTTTTAACAGGAAGAGACCTCCAGCAGAACCAGGCTTTTACATGTGAAAGACTTTATAACACAGACAAGTTTTATAAAAATAAAAAATAAACTGGCTGAAATTATTTCAGCAACAGATTCAAGTATTCATGCTGAACTAAAGGTGGAAAAGTGTTCGTGTCACCGACAAAAAGTTCAGTTTGGAGTACACATGCTTTATTTTTATGTCCTTTAGGTTTTCTACGTTCATTTCTATTATGCCTAGGTTGCCATTATAATTCTTTGTTATTAGATCCCCCTTGTGTATTCAACCCCTGTGTTAAGTCTCCCTCACCTTCATGTGCTTCATGTCTGCGTGTCTTGTGTTGTCAAGTTCTTGTTGTCTTGTCATTATGTTTCCTGTTTTATTTTGAAGAGGTCTTGTGTTCCTGTGTTCAGTTTTACTCCCCCCCCCCGGTGGCGTCGTTATGTTCATTCTTATCAGCCGTTTCCCCGGGTGTTTCCACTTCCTCTGATCACCTCATGTTTGCATTTAGTCTGTGTGTTTCCAGTCATTCGTGTTCAGGTCGTCTGCTAAGTTCACGTCATGTTTCCAGGTATTCACGTAGTCTTGTCAGGTTTTCCATGTTTAGGGTTTTTTCATGTTACTTTCTAGTTTCTTCTCAGTTTAGCGTTGTCATTGATTTTGTCTTTTGTTTTATACTTATTGATCATCCACTATAAGTATATCGCTTTCTGTTAAAAGTTATCGCTTTGCGTGTCTGCACTTGGGTCCCCTTCCTCACTCCATACAGTCTGGCTCAGCCAGACTGTGACAATGCAGATGATGACTAGAAGTGTCAGAAAAGACCAGGAGACTAACTTGGCTCAATATCACTTCAAAAAAAACAAAAAAAAACAAATAAGAAAGAAAAAAAAATAACAGGCATGGCTCAAAAATGAAAATCGGGAGTGCAAAATTATCCAAATAAACATGTTTAAATGTCGTTTCTGGAGAGAAATGGTTCAAAGTCCCTCAAATAAACAAAACACTACAACAACATGAACATTTTTGATCTCCAGTGTCCTCGAGGGTTCAGACATATAGCAAACACATCCTCCCACACATTCGAAAAGAAAAGGTAACGCAGAACAGGAGACATTTCAAACACAGCACAGCCTATTTCATTCATAGAGCCCAGTTAATTACTGCAATTAAACCTGAGAGAGCATCCTTTAACATGATTATGGATTATTATGGTGATACTGAACGTACGAGACACAGTCAAGGATGAATGATATCACTGCAGCACTCGGAATCAGATCATTCTCAAGGGTACACCTGCTTTTATAAAGACGTTTGCTGAGGCAGACGATATAACGCCTGACGTCTCGTCTTAAACGCACCGCCGTCTTCAAATTGCTTTTTAAACTACTGTTTGCACAGTCAGGGTTTATTAAGCTTCTACTTGTCTTGGATCATTTTTATGGCACATTAAATGCAGTGTAACAAGGCAGGAACAAATAAGGTTAAAGAAAATAAATCTAAAATGTTGGTCGCATACGAAACTTGACACGACAAACAAATGAGATTATAACAGAAATCAGCAATAATCTCATGTCCGATGTTGCAAATAAATAAAGAAAAAGGATGGAGCTATTCCAAGCTGATAAATAACTTGTACTTACTGTTCTCCTTCTCGTCTGTGACACAGCTGCTGATGGACTCTGAGAGGCCCAGTGTGGCTGATGAGGGCATCGATCCCAGGAGGAACGCCAGCGATGGGGCTTTTCTCTGTGGGAAGTCCCCGTCGTCCTCTTGCTCCTGGTTCCCCTCCTCGTCTTCTGGTCTCTTCTGCTCCAGTTTTATCAGAGCCTCCAGTGTGAGCTCGTTAAGGTCTTTGCCAAAGTGCTTGGCCACAGCTCGAAGCTCATCTTCGTCTTCTGGTTCCTCGTCGTCCACCAGCTTCGATGACATGGAGAGAATGTTGTTTTCGTCATCATTTTCCAAATCTGTGGAGCAGGACAAACGTGGCGATGTGTCATTCATTTACGACTTTGTGTGCAAAGTCTTTATGCTAAGCTATTTAGATAACTGGACCATAAACAACACGCTGAAAGCTTTTAACTTTTGTCACCATGTTTATTAAAATGTAAACACACAAACGTGTCTGGACAAGGCGACTGAAACAACCATTCATGTGTGTCAGCTTAACAGCATATAGGGATGCAGTTATAATGCTATAATAACCGGCAGGTGACTTGTTTAATTCTCAGACTCACAATAAAAAAAACATCTGTCCTTGAAAAAATTCCCACTTTTACTTTGCTTCATTTTATGTAGTTCGTAACTCCTGAGTATTCCCTGAAGATTAATAAGACTGCATAATTGTACACCATAGTTAGAGTTTTCAAATTAAACATAATTTAGTGGAAAAAAACAAACCCACATTTTCCAGCACACTGAAAGCAGCCACAGCAGTTAAAGGGTCAAGATACTGATCTAAAATCCCACAAGTGCAGGGAATTTATTCGGCTTCCCGAGTCGCAGAAAATGGAATGGTGATAAATATTCATATTCTGACAAAGTAATTGGGATCATAGTTGTGGCTGTCCTGCTACCTAATTAAAATGTGTCCTTTAATCAGCCATAATTAAAATGTCCCCTCACAGGCTCGAGACCTCAAATCGGGAAATCAACTCGGTCTGAGAAGAAACGAACTGCTGCCGGATTTGAAAGCGTCACGGCAGCTGGAAGAACAACATGCCTGAAATCAGTGACAGACCTGCGACCCCCCCACTGCGTAGAAACAGAGGGATACCGGGGCTTGTTTGTGTGCGAGGAAGAAAGACAGACTGAGGCTGAGATAAAGAGCCAAAGGTAGAAAGAGATAAAGGGTGAGAGCAACAGGGAGTGCAGTCTGCTGTGTCTTATTTTTCCTGGGTGGGCCTGTGTGTGCCTTTCACAAACAGCAGCTCAGAGTTCTCGTCCTGCCCGAGTGAGCGACAGAAAGACAAATAAAAGCGTCATCCCGCATTAACGCAGCGGTGTTTCCCCTCTGATATCTGGATTTGGGCGTCCCACTCAACCAAATCAGCAGCAGCTTCTATTATTGCTGCTGCATTCACTCGCTGACACGTCGGCTCGGTGTTCAGAATTCACGCTACGAGATGTTCGCTTGCAAATCGGTAGCCGCACTAGCAGCTAAACCTGAAACACTGTTTAACAGACAAAATGCCGAGAGACAGCTTTTCTATCCTTAGCTCCAGACCGGTCATGGTGCCATTTTTTAAATGGTTATTTTATTATAATCCAAGGTTAATGGTTTTATCTTCAATACAGAATGTAGTGCCTTCATAGTTGACTTTTCAGGCCTGCGTCACTCAAATATCACGTTTAACCTTAATACTACACCACAAACTTAACTCATGCACCTTAAACATGAGTTTAAGGTCTATACAAAGAATATAATATGAATGAATGAATGAATAAATAAATAAATAAATAAATAAATAAATAAATAAATAAATAAATAAATAAATAAAACCCTCTTTAACTAGGGCCCCTGGCAATAAATCCACTGTGGTTTGCTCACCATCATTCAACAATGAGACGCCAATAAAGAACTAAATAAACTTATAGAATGGTAACAAGTTATGAGCGGGAACATAAATATAAATAAACGTAGCACAGAAAGAAAAGACATTTGTGTCTGCTCAGTTATTTCTTTGTTGTAACAATGCTACACTCACAGCTGCTGACCAGTATGATCAGGTGGTACCAGGCTGCTGTGGCAGTGTACGGTTCCTCCACATGCTACTGAGGTCCCAGCTTGTTAAACGCCCGTATGTCTCGTTTCTTCGGACTTCAATCATCCAATCCAACAAACAAACCCAACAAATAGCAGAATAAACGGTTTGGCAAGTGTTTCATGGTCACAACCCACATACTCAACCTTGCTGAACAATGGATTTTACTTACAAATGTGGCACCGTTTAAGGCTTTCCAGCAGTATAAGATATTATTTCCTATTAAGATATTTCCTTAGAGGTCAAATTCAAACTGTCCCTGTGAAAATTGGGATTTGCATTTTTTAACCACAGAGCCAAAGCTCCAGAGCAAACCTGTCTCCTGACATACCAGAGTACAACCTCGGAAGAATATGGACAGCAAATCAGACTTTAGTTGGTCACACTGTCTGGCTTCTTAGGCTTTTAAAAAACACTCCATACATACAGTGCTGCTGCAAAATAAATGCATTAGCCAACATAAGCAAGCAGCAGTGTTCAGTCACTGAAAGGTCCACCACTAAAAACCTCCCAAACCTCCAGACAACCCTGCGTGGAGCAGAGCAAGGTCTTGTTTACCCCAGCACATAAACAGCTGAGGACATGAGAAGGACTTCTGAAATCACTCACCTCCCTTAGCATAGGCAGCGTACACTCCTCTCAGTTTGGGTCTGCTGCTCTCCAGCTCTGCATCTATTTCTTCCTGGTATTCCTGAATTTCACCTGTTGACGGTGTAAAACAATGTCAAAGGAACTCTTCCATAAAGACTTAGATTGCGTGATCCTCTAGGGCTTTCTAGGCTAACCCATTCAATTATATTTCTCATAGTCCCATAATTACAGCACAATATGTTAGCAGTGCAACATAATGCAAGGCTAATTACAAGTTGTACGGAGCCTAAATCATGTCCTCTATTTATGTTTTCTTTGCTTTAACCACATCCAACACTGATCTGCTTTTAGTCGAGGTCAACAAACACTTCCAAGAAAACAAATGTCCATCTTTAACACACAAACTTTTCTGAAAACTTGACAAAATAAAAGAAACTTAAGCCAGGACTTTGTGTGTGTGGTGGCAAACAGACAGCGACGAGACATTCATACCTTCGACGTCATCCATTTTTTTCTTGATCTCAATCTCCAGCTACAGCGAGGGAGAGAAAAGAGAGGGTTTGGATGAGACAATGAAAGTAGCTTCCTCTCTAATAGTGGCTACAGGGTGAAACGATCGCTGAATAAAACCTCTTAGAATAAAAGAAGGTTATAACACGAGGGCTCTGGGGTGGTTAACGGCAGCACCCTTTGCTCTCAGAGTGCTTTTTCCTCCCCGGTGTATAACGTGCGTGAGTTTGATTTGATGTTGCTGGTGTGAGACTCGACTAAAGAACAGCACTCTGTGAGTACTTTCACAAAGCTTTTACATTAACTCCAATGTTTCCTCTTTTTTACATTATGGCATGAGAAAGGTCAGCTCATTACTGGGCAAAAGCTCCACCAGTAAAGTCAGATCAGTAAAAAAAATTACCACTTTTTAACTTTTGGCCACATCTCACAGCTTTTGTTTGTTAAAGCCGGGTGAAAAACAAGTACGCTCCGACTCTCTGAAGCCCATCTGTCAGTTTCCGCAAAGAAAAACTCAAGATCTTGAGAATTTGCTGCTGTCAGGCTACAGTTTACAGTTTTTGTGGCCAAGAATGAACAAACTGCTGTAAACCTCTCCAGAAAGCAACGACTCTTTTTAATGATATCTAATTTTTAACAGAAATCGCCACCGCATTCATCAAACATCAACAATATTGACATGGAGAATACTCAGATTTCATTTTTCCAATCATGCTTATGATAAATCCTAGTACGAAGTGTCACCTGAACCTGGGTTAATGCAGTAACAGCCTTTCAAGTAATAAAGCCTTTTTCATCTCTGATTAACGAGCTGGTCGTCTTCAATCATGAGCCCAATACGACACCTTCACATGTTAACTTCATTTCATCGGCCTTTTTTAAAGTAACATTTTCCAGCCTTACAATCACATTGTATTTAATTAAATGGCAGGCTGGCCAGACGTCACGCTGTGGAAATGTCCCAAGAGTGAGGTGATTCCTCTTGAAGGCTGGCATTAGACAGAAAAATGAAGACGTTAAGCTCTGCAATGAGTAATCATCACGCCATGTATGATGAATGGGAGTCGCATGCAGTTAGCTCAAGTTTCATTAGCTCTGCTTGCAGGTCAGTCCATTTTTTGTTGTGCAAAATCCCTTTAGAATACTAGAAGGAATAAAGCAAAGTAAAACTTTTATTGTGAAATACTTTTTACTCTCAAAACAAATAATGGTGAGTGGGGAAAAAAACCCACTCAAAAAAACCCCCAAAACTACTGAAGTACAGAAGCTATATGGAATTTAAGACCTGAAAATTAGGCACCAGATATATTCTACACGCACTCACCCCTAAATCATCAGGCATGTCTCCTGTTTTCTGTTAAAGCAACAAGTATGTGGGACAATGCCTTAAAAAGAGCTCGATGGCCTTTTACAGAGCCCACAAAGTGTGAGGACACCGACAACACTGATGCTGTTAGTTTAGAGGTTAATACCCTTCATCCATTATTGGGGAAAGCCTGAGGGCTGTATGTCACCATCAAGATAATAAAGGATGAAATTTTAATATTCCCTGTGGAGGGATGAATGGGTCATTTCATGAGTAATTGAGTTGATCAGAATTGATGCGCATGTGCGTTTCTAATGCTATGGCACATTAATTGGGGTGAATTGAAGGCTGAGGTTTGTGTGGAAAAACACCTGCTGGACTTTCTTCTTCTTTAGTCCGGCTGTGTAGCAGGGCGGGTCACACTCTTGGTCCAGATCCACCTTCATGAACTCCTCGATGGTGAGCTGGCTGGTCGGCGTGTCCTCAAACTCTGTCAGTCTAACGCAAAGTGGCGTTACAAGGCAAAAAATAAGTTAGGTAATTAAGATCCAACTAAACATCTGGGCTGATCATCTGGACCAGCAGAACTTTTAAAGAAGGAACTTCTGCTGCTCATTTTGGCAAAAACAGAGAAATCCCATAAACTTCGAGGCTCCACAGCCGGGATTTTCTACCAAATCACAAACTTTGATCGCCCACCTTTTTCTCAGCGTGGATTCGCACACTTTGACGATGTTGACTATTTCTTTGACAGTGCGCCGAAAGTCATGTAGACGAGCAGCTACAAGAAGGGCTGGAAACAAACAAACAAACACACACAGGGATGAGATTTAACCAGAATCTGCACAGAAGCAATAACAAAACGTGTGTCCGTGTATGATTAGAGAAAAGGCCGAGATGTGACTAAACACTAAAAAAAAATAAAAAAAAAAGTTATGCGCTTATGGTTTTAGGCACTTTTAGATGTGCACCTTAAACAGTGAAGAGGAGCCAACAAGACGGGGGCACCTCAGAGCCAACAAATCCACCCCCACATTTTAAAAAAAAGGAGAAACAACAACGCTAATATTATGCAATGAATTGCAGTGTGAGCCTTGAAGGGGAACAGTTATGTAACTGTCATTAGACTTGCCTCGCTCAAGAGCCTGTTAAAAGATAGATGCGTGCTTCCACTTCCACATGCACACTTCTAACAGCCTTGAGGAGTGAAGTGGTGGCTTTTTAGCTCCGCTGAGGACTTTCTCAAACATTTTTCATCGCCATTACCTTAAAAACCACACGACTTCAGATTTGCAAGTTTTCCTTGCTGAATACATTCGTCGCTTCGCATTCACAAGCCCTTTGCCCTTGAAATCACAAGAAGCAACTTATAAACTCGTCTCTCCTGGCACAAACTTTTTTTTTGCATATGTTTAAAACCATCAACAGTGATATTTGCATCATATTTAGGAACAAACTTTTCCTTCTTCCATTCGAGTGCTTCCTTCTCAAAGATTTATGATGAGTAATTAAATATTAAGGTAATCCAGCAGAGTAACAGAGAAAGATGAAAACTGAAACCATGGGAGTAAACATGCAGGGAGCAGCAGAAGGCGGCGATTCGATTTCAGGACGTCTTAGCAGGTAATGCACAAAGCCTCAATGTACTGGGCTTTGTAGCAATCACAACACAATAAGGAAGGAAGGCCTTTGAGTTCAGCTGTTTAATATAAACTGCACCACCAAAGTCCCGTAAAGACGATGACGTACCTGGTGGGAAATCAAAAACCTCACACGCTGCAGCCAGCTTAGACAGGTGCTGGCAGGATCGGCTTTCCCACAGGTTTCACTGGCAGGTGACCAAAAGATCCACAGTAGGAACACTCAGCAAGGCTGCAAACACTGCGAGAGGTGCAGCTGACTGCTAGCGTGCAGCACCCGTGAATAAACGATGCTCGTCTTTGGTTAATATAATGTAATGTTCTCATTTTATAAGACTGCACCTATGGTGTCAATCTGAAAATCATCGGTGACTTTGCACTTGAGTCATTGCAATCAACTCCAGAAGCTTCTCAGATAAGGCGTGAAACATCTTCATGAACTTAAAGAGGTTCAGTTGCTTTTCTTTTCAAGCTCCATTGAAACTTAGAGTTTTCAGAAAACCTGACCTCTAACCTTGACCTTGAGGTCAGGGTCACCAAGACTCGACCAAGTTATCGTGTCCACACCCGGCGGGGTGATTACACTACCCCCATCAGCATTTAGAGCTGAAAGATAAAAACTGGACTTTTAAAAACTTAAAACTAACTGAAATGACTTTGTGAACTTAGAAAAGTAACTGAATCATGTATCATTTATTAACTGTCCAGCACCGTTCTGATATTTGGACCAGGTATCAGTCCAATAGTGCCTCAAAAGCTAGATGGGGTATCCAGAGCGGATCGACGCACTTCAGGTCTACATTGCTCTGTGTACTGTGCTGCATGTCAGCAGGAGTGCAGCAGCTGCTAAGGGGAGAAGTAGACTAGCGCAGAGTTAGCCAACAGCAAAGACTCAGAAGTTGGAGGCATTTCCCTCCTGCTACAACAACACGTTCTTCATGCTTCAGGCAACAGAGCTCCAACAACAGAGCTCTCTTTATCTCCCACTTTTCGTCTGTACTGTTGGAGCTCACACTTCTTCGGAGGTTTTCATCCCAGTGCACTAACACAACTGTTATCCTTTGTCACCAGCGTCAAATCTCCTCCACTACTCACGTGTGACGAGTACACCGACAGTAACATCAAGAGCAGAGAGAGGAGAAACCAGCTCGAACGCAAACGACAGCAAAGACTCTCACATTAAGCTGAAATGAAACAAGTGCAAATAAAACAAGAAGCAGTCAGAGAGCACAAACCTGCACTAACTCTCTGGGCAGTATTTACTTTTAAGGGAAGACTATTGTAATTTGTATATATTCATTTATTTTTCTTTGTTTTTTAAAAACATACCTTAAGAAGTTTGTAGTGCAGTAAAAATCAGATAAAGGCAACATGACAGATTTACTTTTCATGGGTAATAGCTATTGATTTGTAAATAACTAGACATGAATAACCTTATTAGATAATATTATACTACAGTATATTAATAACTATACAGGCAGCTCATTCTGCTTCTCTTAACAATACTTTATAGATATAAAACATTTTGGGATCGAATTTTAAAAGGTTGACCTGGAAGATGTTGGTGGATGTGAGCCATATGTTAATGGGTTGGTAACATGACCCCACTCTACACCCCTACAAAGCTTTATGAGAATTCATTCAAAACCTTTTGAGTTATCGTGTTAGACACTACCAAAAACCTTCTAATATGTTAAAAGCGCTGTGGGAAGATTTGACACTTTCCAAACACATCACTCTGGACAGGTTTTACAGCTCTCTTTGGGGAGTTAACAGACAGGTATCGCGTTTGCAACCAAAAGTCTTCATGTAGTTGGAAGAGTGGGATGCTAAGACGTAAAGCTTATACAGAGACGTTCTCAGCATTTAGAAAAAATGCTGAGAACCACTAAAGCTGGCAGGAAGACAAGTTTCTATGAAACAACTCGTGCTGACAGGCATCTTTCAGCTCAGGCTGCCTAACCTGGGAATCATGTCGTGATAACACGATAACCCAGACAGCGAGAGAAATAAACTGTTTGTGTGTGAGCCTCCAAGCATCAAAGGCCAGGAGGGCTTAAGTGCACGGAACAAATCTCATGGTAAAAATTAGTCATAATTAGTAGTGTAAGCATGCACAGTGTGAACCTGGGAACCACTGCTTTCTGTCAAAATATAGCAGTCAGATACATCCTTGTGTTAGAGCTCTGAAGGTGCATGCAGCCCTTCTTACACTGATCTATAGCTGCCCCATGAGTGCATCTGCTTACATTCACTTCCTTATCACACTGATCAAGTCACCAGGAAAATGTGGCAAAATTAAAATTTCTTTTATTATTCCCTGTCAGAGAGAATGAGCCTCTTGTACTGCACTAAAACATGTAACAAAGCGTTCCGGTCACTGATCGGCTCTCTGAGAAACTGAGGTTAAAGCATCTTGATTAAGGGCACCTTGACTTTCCAGCAGAGAGCATTAATCACTTTCTTTCCTCAGATTTTCAGTCCCGCTGCTCAGAGCCTCGGGGCTGCTACCAGCACCCCTCCTGCGAATTGAAGAAGATACCCAGTGCTGCTTCAGCTTGTAGTTACCTGCTCCACAGAGTCCCGACGGCCTTCGCCCCGTGTGCATCCAGTCCCTCTTCATCCTCTGCACCAGACGCAGCGCCGTCATGGAGACCTCGCGGGTCTTATCGCCAAATTCCAGCATTTGGGCAAAACGGGGAATATAAAGGCACGGGTCTGGTGGCAAAAGGAAAGATTGTTTTTTTTTCCCCCAAGTTAATCACAAGGACAGCCTTAAAAATGTACAACAATGCCACTGTACTCCCCCCACTGTACTTTTCTTTGGTACAGCCGAGTTCTCAAAGTCAACATAATAATGCAACACTGTGGACGCTATACATCCACAGTTCATAGTATAGCATCAAGGAACCATTCAGGTTTTCTATGCCCTCATCTCCATTCATAATATGCCAAAGTAAAAACATAGATAAACAATTAAAATGACAGAAAGTTCTTGTTTCTACTATAATTTCTGATTTTTACAGTGAAACGAAAAACGATATTCTGTTAGTGAACAAAACGTTTCCTTTTTGTGATTCATTTTGTTTATACACCCCATACATTCATTCATTATTTATAATCTCTGACTCTCTTCCACAGTGTGTCTCTCGTCCTGTCTCCCTCCCCCCTCAGATGGTCATGGCAGATGGCCGCCCCTCCCTGCGCCTGGTTCTCCTGGAGGCTTATTCCTGTTAGAAGGGAGTTTTTCCTTCTCACTGTCGCCAAGTGCTTGTTCATAAGGTGTCATCTGATTGGTGGGATTTTCTCTGTATTATGCAGGGCGGTTACCTTACAACACAGCTAACAGTAAAACTTGACATTCAGACATTTATTTTAAATTCATTTCAAGCTTCTGTGTGCACCACTTTAAAAATATATAACCGTTTGAAAAAGATTCTTTTTGATACGGCCTTTATAAAGCCCCTTGAGGTGATTTTTGCTGTGATTTGAAGCTATATTAATAAAACTAAAATTGAACTGAAGTGAATATTTTAGATGAGCCTAATCTGAAGCTGTAGGCCAATCAAAGTGAAGACTTTTTCTCACACTGGGTAGAACGCACAAAAGACTTCAGGGTTGTTTGACTGTTTGACGTCAAGGAGCTAATTTTGAAGGTTGTGAACTAAATGTGCTCATGCCTGATGATCATGCGCAGCTCTGTGAGGAGATGCCACCATCCTGTTTCATGCTTCATCGTCATCTATGATGCCCTTCACCTTTGCCTCCTAACCTGACATCATTGTTGTTGTTGATACCTCAGCTGCTATTTTTCAAAGGTGATTTGATGATACTGCCCATCACCTTTCTGAGGAATGAGCAGCTCCTGTATGTAATCTAAAGCAACTGCAGCACGCTACACAGTTTATGAGTGTAAGTATCCTATTTAACATTTGTTTCGTGTTTGACTGATTGGAGAAGATAAACTGTGGGAAATTCAAGGTCACTGTGCTCAAGTTTAATTCAGCTTCTCTCCAACCATGGAGCCAGAGGCCTCTCCTGATGGCACTTTAGCCAGAGCTCTGTCCAATAAACTGCTGCTCGTGTGCCCATGGATTTTTGTTTACAAGCCCTGGTTTGTGTGAACAGTAAACAGACCAAAATGCCAGAGCGAGTACACTTTTCCTCTCTTAGGCCAAAAGAAAAAAAAAAAAAAAAAAAGAAATGGGAAAAAAAATGACCAAAATCCAGCCTGAAACACATCCAGATCTCAACTTACTACCACCTGTGAGCTTCCCACTAAAACCAGTTTCTGACTGCTGGCTGCTAATTAGCTCCACTGGAGAACTGGAGGATTAGCATTTAGCTTGAGTGCACCTCGAAGCAGCCTGTTTCTCATTCAGCGACTCCATCCACATTTTCTCAGCTGGCGAAAGGATTTGGATGGGCAATCATCCAATCGCAAGCTCACTCCTTAAACTTTCTGCTCGCTTCTTCTGTCTCTGAGAGACTTGTACAGTTTTGTATGTCATAAACTTTATGCGAAATACTTTTTAAAAACATCACGACCACCTGCTTTTACCATGAAACTGCCTGGCAGGTGGCCCGTTTGCCTTTAGTCGCTTTTTATTGTGAAAAATGATTTTACCATGCTCTGAAATCCAGTTTAAAACTCAAATGAGGAGGAATCCGGTTCCCACTGTAGCCTGAAGACTAAAAGTCGAGTTTTGTGCCCCGACTGTGATAGTGGAGTCAAATACCTTTTGAAGTCAGAGGCTCTGTTTAAAGAGCAGCCCAGTGGAAAGCTGGTAGAGCCAGCTGGTAATAAGATCCAGGCTGATCCCTTCCCCCCTCTGCACCGTGTAATGATACGTGTGCAGAGCTGGCCATCACTGCTCCAACTTTTTACTCTGTGTCTGTAAACTCAAAACCAGGCTGTTAAAATAGGTTGTTTAAGAAAAAAAAAACAAACAGCCCAAATCCTCTTTCACCGTTGAATATAATCAATCTGTGATGCTCAAACAGCCCAGGAGTCTTTCTGTGATGGAGTGCTGTAGTTTACCTTTTTTGTGTAGCCACTTTACCTCAACCTGCCTCGCCTCTATTCCCCCAAATTACTTCGACCACCCCCAGAGAAGGGCCGCGAACTTGCTCCTTTCAATCAAATGTGGGAGCAGGGCTTCATGAATAGCATTAAAGTGTTATCATTCAGTCATGGGGAAGCTGCACCCTTCCCTCAACCCCCAAAACTGCAATGGCTCTCTATTCTAGTTTGTGTTACTCTGGGTACAGGACTCCATCTCTCTAATAAATCCTTCTGTGTGATTGATGAACGGCAGTACAAGACGGCAGCACTACAGTGCGACCTAAAGCCTAATAAAATTTCATAAATCATTTTCTGGTCTTCAACTCCACTGAAGCTAAATCGCCGTACATGATATCGTGCTGTTGGTTTGATCACTTACTTCACAAATGACCAGAATTAGACGTCAAGTAAAAGCAGCTTTTAGGAATTTACAATGTAGCAAACAAACAGAAAGTTTTGCTAATACTGTTACATTTATACTAGTTTGTTAGATACTTTATATTGATATACTGCAAGGCACTGTTAATTTTGATTTTGTTGTAGGCATAATTTAGGCATCTAATTTTTTTGTTTTAGTTGACTATAGTAGACTAAAACTAAAGTTGAGTCAGTTGACTAATATATAAAGTGTTAAAGTTTTTTCCTTGAAATCAAATGTGAAACGTGTGCACCGTTCTTTTCCTCTGAAACGCTGACATTTTGCCTCATTTTCATGAGAAACGGGGAGGATGGAAGCTAATTGTACCGTTTCCCGGGGGCCAGATCAAATGTGCGCGACTAACCTTACTGCACAAGGTTATTACTTCTGATTGGAACACTTCCAAACCCATCCCGCCTACCTACACAACTTCATTAGTTCTAATTAGATCTCATCTACAATATTTTCATCTCGTTTCCTTTTGTTGACGAACGTTTAAATACATTTCATCATCGTTGTTGCCTTCGTGCATTAGTTTTTAATTACTTACTGCTTGATTTTGTCAGAAAAGGATAACTGAATAAACACTGATGCAGGGTAAGTAATGGTTTTATTTATCACTGTACTTACAATGTTATTAATGTAACTAAACAGAATTAATTAAGCAATTACTAAAAAAAGAAATACAGATAATACAGTCACTGTTATCACTGTCAGTTTGACAGGCATAAAAATAGTATTTTTGCACCAACAAGGTGTTTCCCAAAGAGCTGTTAGCCATAAACGTGCCATATCTGGCATATGTGGAATAGTTTGAAGTGTATCCTTAAAAATTTGGAAGAAATTGAACAACGAGGACAAAAGAAGTGTTTGTGAAATGAACAATATGTGAATGATGCGGGTATCAATAGCACTGATAGCAAGGCTGTATTGGTATCAGATCATTACCAGCGAGGTAGGATCGATACCTTGTTTCTATCCTCTGAGTTCAGTGTGTAGCCCACTGAATTGTGTAAAATAAATATTTTTTAGAAATGAAAATTTAACTAAATGTACTACTGTACTACATTCTGATACTCTACGGACTCAGCGGTCATTAAAATGTGTTCAGAATTTGCCAATTGATGATGATTCATCTCATTAATCATGACACGCCGCTCTCCCCTACATAAACTGCCTTTATGAGTTAAAAGTATCAGCAATACTGGCCCTGCATTTACTCTGTATAGGATCAACACCAAAATCTGCAGTACTGCACAACACTAAAGCAAGTTAATCTAAAATCTGACCACTGTCCTATGAGGAGCAATTCTTGTTAACTGTGCAGAGGAACAAACAACTTGTCAGCCTACAGGTTTAATGCATGATCTTCAGACAAAAAATGACCACAGAGAGAAAACAACCAAAGAAATGGGATGCAAAACTGACAACAACAACAAAAAAAAAGCGCACAAACTCACAAAAACAAAGACGAAAGTCCCAGGACTGCCACAGAGTGACTCCAATGGCATCAAACAAATTTTAAGTCACACTTATTAACCACACGGGAACACAAAGGCACATCTGTAGGGGTCGTCCTAAACAGAAGTGTGTGTCTGCATAGGTGGGGGGTTGGGGGGGTTACTTGTGTTGTCCCCCTGGTGTGTATTGTCTTTCACTCCAGCCCTGCTCCTCCTCTGAGGAGGAGAGATCAGAGCGTCTGTCCTGTGACGCACTCTGCGGAGCTAGTGAGGGAGGGGCCTCTTTGGCCTCACGTCAGCGCGGTGCGTGATTGTTATTGGTCCTCGGCGGGCCCTGGGCGTTCAAGGAGAGCACGACCAAAAATAAGGAGGAGGGGGAGGCGGGGAGGAGTAAAAAAAAAAAAATGAGAGAGAGAGGGGGGGGGGGCGAAAAAAACCGAGCGGAGCTTAAAAACTCCCGACAAATGATTATTTACCTCGGCAGCAGCGGAACATCGTAGCTGGCTTCGTGTCGGTCTACAGCCGATTCGGAGAAAAAGGGGGAAAACAAATCGGGAGAGAAATGTGCGTGAGGATTAACGCAGAGGCGGGGTGGGAATAAAATAGGCTGGACTTGACTACCAGCTGCGACTATCCGGATTACCCACTCGCTGGAAAAGGGAGAAAACAAGCGAAGCTTCGCGGACATTTGTGCGCTCGGAGAGGATGAGCTGACCGCCGAGGAACGGGGAAAAAAAACAAGTGTTTGAGGTCGAAAGTTGCGAGTGGATGTGGAAACGGACAGCAGTGGGCCTGGGAGGATATTTAGATGCTGTCGCGTAAACTTCGCTGTCGGTGCCGTTTGAAACCGGCGTTGTAGGAACCGGACCGCACAGGAAAGGGGGAAAAAAAGAAAAACACTCAATCCACCGCAGCGACAAGCTTCATGTCGAGCCCGACAGCAGTTTATTGCACCGGGTATTAAAGAGACAGCGAGAGAGAGGGAGGAGGAAAAAACCCAGAAGATCGGCTGCTCGTGCAGATGCCAACGGCAGACTGCAGGTTGCTCCATCATGGCCGGATCATGAGGTGTTTGACTTATTTGCTGCTACTTCCAGAAACACTGAAAAAGTCCAAGAAGGTAACCAAGCTGCCGGGCCGGCTGCCGCTATGTTATGAGATCCTGACTCTGTCCCTGTCGAGCAAGAAAAAGCAGCAGGAGAAGGAGAAGAAGATGGCTGCGGAGTTGTACCCCGCTAACAACACCAACAACACCAATCTGGCCAACGGCACTACGGTGGCTGACGCGGAGAAGACCAAGGAGCTGCAGGTGTGCCAGGCCAGCGGGAGCAGCGCCGGCGGCGGAGGGAGCGCGGCGACCACCCCGACCACCCAGCAAAACATCAACAACAACAACGTAGACCCACCCAGCTGGCAGTGCAGCCACCCCACGCTCCGAGAGAGGTAACTCCAGAAACACAGAGGACAATTATCCGCCTAATCTGTGCGCAAAAAGCCCGGTCACAGGGATCGCAGTGCGAAAGAGTCGCTGTTAGAGTAATGACAGCCGCTTTGACTCGGTGTATTAACACGGAAGCTGGCAGCAGCAAAGTGCACGAAAATCACTGCTGTGAGGATCGCTCATGCTCGCTTTACTTTTACTTTGGCGCACACTTTGACTCCCTCAAGTTTCTAGAAAACTGATTTACTGTTGGAGCGTCTATCTAAACCAACATGAGCTTTTTTTGTTTGTTTTACTTATTTGCTCCTACCGTTCTTTAATCTCTTTAATTTATTCTGGCAGTAAACAAATCCCACTTGAGTTTGAACTGTTGATCTGCCAAAACAAGACATTTTAAAAATGTCACCAAGCACTCTGGGGAACTTTCCATAGATGCCAATGAGCTGACATTTTCGAGGCTGAGGGATAAAGTGAGAAAACAATAAGAGGGTAGTCCTCTTTCTTTCCCTGCATCCTCCCTAAATCTATGAAAATAACCAGTGTCTCTAGGCAAAAGCAGTGTGGGAGGACTTTATGTTATACAATAGTTGAGGCTTACTTGTGAAACCTGCTCTGTTTTTAGGAACGCCTTGATGTTTAACAATGAGCTGATGGCTGATGTCCACTTCATTGTCGGGCCCTTGGGGGCCTCGCAGAAGCTTCCCGCACACAAGGTAAGGAGCGCATCTCGGAAAAATCGCTGCAAACCAGAGAAAGACGGGAAGCTTACGCACTAACTTAACTAATGTTGATATTTGAGCTTTAAATTTAAATACAAGCTCCGAGGACAATGCAAGGTAATATATCGGCTCTAGTGTTGAACTTGTGAAAGACGAGCTCCTCTGGTTTCTCTGACGCATCCGTCTCCTCCTCTCCCCTCCCCTCCCAGTACGTGCTGGCCGTGGGAAGCTCCGTCTTCTGTGCCATGTTTTACAGCGATCTGGCGGAGGAGGAGTCTGAGATCCATATTCCAGATGTGGAACCTGCTGCTTTTCTAATTCTGCTGAAGTAAGCCACTCACCATCCCTTCGCACAGCCAACCAGAAGCTGAGATGACAAGCACAGTCAGTGTCACTTCAAAGCATATTATTACTCATCCAAAGCTAAGCAGAGGCGAATGCCAAAATGCTGGGAGCACCAGAGAGCCGTGGCAGCGGCGCGGTGCTCTGTAATTGCTGGTTTTCTCAGCGCTCTTTGTTCGACTGGCAACATTCCCCCCCCCTTCTTTTCCTCATCCTGACAGTTTGCCTTTATGCACACTAGTAGTTATAAATAACATGCCTTTGTTGCTCATTCAGTAGCGCTGGCTAAAAGCGTAGCACAGATTGTTGCTCTGCAGACTTTCTGGAAAACGGTAGGATTATGTATAATGGTGTTATATAATCTTCTTTGGGAAGGAAAAGAATTCCCTTTTTTGTTTGCCGAGTCTCTTGATACAGTAGGAAGAAGAAGAAATGTGGAGCCAGAGTCACTTAAATGTGTTCATCGCTGTTTCTTCTTAGTCAGCATATCATCTGTCAGCCAGTCTGATTTCTGTACATTTAAGGCTCTTTTCTTTCTCCCAGGTACTTGTACAGCGATGAGATCGACCTGGAGGCAGACACGGTGCTGGCCACCCTGTATGCTGCCAAAAAGTACATCGTCCCTGCACTGGCCAAGGCCTGCGTCACCTTCCTGGAGACCAGCCTGGAGGCCAAGAATGCCTGCGTGCTGCTCTCTCAGAGCCGCCTGTTTGAGGAGCCCGAGCTGACGCAGCGCTGCTGGGAGGTAATCGACGCGCAGGCCGAGCTCGCGCTGTGCTCGGAGGGCTTCTGTGAGATCGACCTGCAGACGCTGGACATCATCTTGCGGCGGGAGACCCTCAACACCAAAGAAGTGGTGGTGTTTGAGGCGGTCATGAACTGGGCCACGGCAGAATGCAAGAGACAGGGTTTGGGGCCAACCACTCGCAACAAAAGAGAAGTACTGGGTAAGGCGCTGTTCTTGGTGCGCATCCCCACCATGAGCCTGGACGAATTTGCAAACGGTGCTGCGCAGTCGGACATCCTGACACTGGAGGAGACGCACAATGTCTTCCTGTGGTACACTGCGGCTAAAAAGCCCCAACTAGACTTCCCTCTGAATCCCAGGAAGGGCTTGGCTCCTCAGAGGTGCCACCGCTTCCAGTCCTCGGCCTACCGGAGCAACCAGTGGCGCTACCGCGGCCGGTGCGACAGCATCCAGTTTGCTGTGGACAAGCGGATCTTTATTGCCGGTTTGGGCCTGTACGGGTCGAGCGGCGGCAAAGCCGAGTACAGCGTCAAAATCGAGCTCAAGAGACAGGGGGTGATCCTGGCGCAGAACCTGACAAAGTTTGTGTCGGACGGCTCGAGCAGCACGTTCCCGGTGTGGTTCGAGCATCCCGTTCAGGTGGAGCAGGACGCGTTCTACACAGTGAGCGCCGTCCTGGACGGGAATGAGCTGAGCTACTTCGGCCAGGAGGGCATGACGGAGGTGCAGTGCGGGAAGGTCACGTTTCAGTTCCAGTGCTCCTCCGACAGCACCAACGGGACTGGAGTACAGGGAGGACAGATCCCCGAGCTTGTGTTCTATGCATAAGCTGCTCTGGACTGCTGATGGGAAATTAGGTCTATCGCTGCCTCCCAACCTTCAAAGTAATGTAGCATTAAAAGACACTTGAGTAATGTCACACTAAATGGCCTGGTTAGTTCTATAAGAGACTATTTTAAAAGCGACGGAGCTGTTTTATCTTATTTAATTTAATGTTATTTTTTTATTTAAATGCTGATTTAACGTTATTCGCTCAGAAGCTTGTGTTTTTCAAGGGCTGCGGCTGCTGTAGGAACAACATTAATACAGTGACCTGTGGTTATGTAATCAAGCTGAGCTCCAGAACTGGAACAAGTAGGGTCTGCTTCAAATTGTGTAATTGCAAGTCTATATACAATGTTGTTACTATAGTCCAGGCAGCAATATCACCTGAGGAGCAAACTTTATGTAGTGTTCGATTCTAATGCAGAAAAAAAAAAAAAAAAAAAGTAGAAATCGTGTCAAGAACAGAGTCGTTTTGCACTTCAGAGGACGGCCTCAGAAACGTTGTCTTTTTGTAAAATACAATTTATCTGTTAACAGCTTGATGCTGTTGATGAGCAGATGTGTTCTGTACAAGAATGCTTATACACCTGCCGAAATATAAAGGTTATAATGTGAGAAAGCCGCACATGTGACATCTTATGGGATCTGGGTGAGGGAGTGGGGGATTTGAGGGGCAGCAGCGCCCTCTGGTAACTAAAGTGGGAACTACACATTAGGTTTCTACCTCACTTGCATGGAGTCTGGCAGGCACAGATTTGAGGACTGATAAGGGTTCTGCCTCTTTTTCCAAGTGAGGATTTGGATTCATTTCCTACTAAATAAACTGCACAGTGCATTTAACAGACAGCACACTTACATTAACGCTGGCAAAACACTATAATGGAAATGCAAAGCTATGCACGAGGAAAGCAAAGCCTAAACCAGCGATTTTCTTTGACGGTTTCCCAAAATATTTCGTACATTATAGTTAATATTAATGCACTTCTGCTTTGGCAGGACGGCTCGTCGTGTTCAATTTAAGGACATCAGAGCTCATAATCTTCCAGGTAGCTGCAGACCAGACCAGCCTTACAAAAATCAAAGGTGGTCACATTTGAGTTTTTGTAAATGTAGAAAAGTCAAACTCTTGAGTTTAATAGGCTAATAATATGCTGTACTTCACAAAAAGTACAGGATGCTCTCAGAAACAATAACAAGGACCATTTTTATTTATTAGATAATTTGAACAAAGTGCAGAGAACAGAAAAATTAGAATAAAACATTTTGGTGTGACTGCCCACCACCTCGTCACAGTTTTTCACCAGTTCTGGAAGTTTCAATCTCTGGAGGAGCTTTCAACAGTGTGAAGAAATAACTCACTCTTATGGCCACTTGACAAATAATATTTTTACAGAAAGGTGTAATATACACTCGCCACTTTATCTTCTAGTTCTGGGCTGGACCCTCTCCATGCATGTCTGCAAAGATTCAACAAAGTTGGTGCAAACATTCCTCACAGAGCTTGGTCCATATTGAGCAGTTGTTGTCATGCAGTTGCTGTCAGCTCCACACCCACGAGGATAACCTCTCATTACATTACACCACTGCCAGCCTGATCCGCTGATATAAATCAGTCCCCGCTTTCATGTTCTTTATACCAAATTTCGACTCTACCATCCAAATGTCGCAGCACAAATCAAACCTGAGCAGACCGGGCCGTTTTTCTGACCTTCTATGGTCTAATTTTGTTGAGCCTGTGTGAATTACAGCCTCAGTTTCCAGTTCTTAACCCACAGATGTGACACCTGGTGTGGTCTGCTGCTGCTGTGAAGTCCATATGCTACAAGGTTTGACATGTTGTACTCCAGAGATGCTCTTCCCTGGCTGTAATGAGTGGTTATTTGAGTTTCTGTTGCCCTTCTATCAGCGTGAAGAAGTCTAGCCGTACTTTTTGACATCAACGAGGCATTTTTGCCCAGAGATCTGCTGCTATCTAGACATTTTCCTACGTTTGGACCATTCTGTGAATCTGAGCTGCCTAACATAAATGCAGCGAGTTGCTGTTATATGATTGGCTATGATTGCCATGCGCTACAGAGAAGTTCAACAGGTATACTGCATGAAGGGATAAATGAGTGTATACAGCTTTTCATTTGAGGGGATTTAAACTTCTTTAATAATTTACCAGCAGACATCCTCCAGCTCCTTTTCCCTGTTATTAAATCTATAGTGAACATTTCTGGTTTTTACAATATGTGAAAGGTATGACACACCTGATTCAGCATTTTTATAACACGACTCACAGTAAACAGAGTAAAGTGGAGGACAAATACCTATAGCAGGAGCGTTGATGCAAAGTTCTCTGGCCAGAACGAGAAACGTTCTTCCCAACACGTAGACGTTCACCTGTGGATGAGACAACCCAGGATGAGTAAACGATGTTATTCAGCAGACGTAAAGTACCTCGCACTGCCAGGAAAAGTGTATCTATTGAGTCCAAGAGCCATTAAATCCATTCAAAGCCACTTAAAGAATTATAGTAGAGTGCGATTAAGCACACTATCAGGATATGAAATAAGGCCGTTGCATCACCGGCGGGACAAGTGTTCTGGTTACATAATTGACCTGAAGGTTGCAGAACATCACGCTTCAATATGTCTGTGATTTGGAACTGTAGACTCATCTCTAATGAAAACACCTGCAGCTGCACTCGCTGTGCCCGCATGTTTTGGTTTCTCCGCTCGGTCCGGACAGTCCTGACTTTTCCTCACTCTGAACAGCCCAGAAAATAGCGACGCTTTAGCTTGTTGTGATGAACTCATCGAATTTTAAAAGCAACTTAAATATCTTCGTCACTGATGATTAAGAAAGCCCCTTAGAGACTTCTAGATTTACAAATAAAGCACAACAACTGAATAATCTGACTGGTTCATGTTAAAGTGAAGGCAACTGCTGGTAACAGACTTGTTTCAGTTTCTCCAGCTTCTCAAATGTGACGATTTGCTGTTCATCTTTGTTTTAAATGACAGTAAATTGACCATCTTTGTCATCTGAACTGATTGGCAGCCAAAATAAATCATGTGAAGATAAATTTTTACCTTTTTTTGCATCAAAACTGACACGAATCCATAAATAATTTGTATAAACCCTAATCTAGTGAATTTTGTTATTTTATTCTGGCCAACTTTTATTTTTTAAGGCTGCATCACTTGTGTCACTTTGAAAAGTTGTGTTTGCATGTTTCTCTGCAGCACTGTGTGAAAGCAGACCTGCGTAGATGAGCACAAGCATACGATGCAGAACTTAGTGTGTATAAGTACTTTAACAAGATTCACAGCAGTGGAGGACAACACAACACAAAGTCCAACCAGTCATTTCCTGTCCCCAAACAATTCTCACGAGACAACAGTTGCCTCACAATGCTGTGTATTGTAAGGTAGAAACCCGATAACACAGCAAAAACACCAACAAACAACCTCTGTGAGCAAGCAGTTGGTGACAGTGGGAAGGAAAAACTCCCTTTCAATAGGAAGAAACATCCTGCAGAACCAGGCTCAGGCTGGAGTGGCTGCTGCAACCAGTTGTGGGTGAGGGGAGGAAAACTCCAGGGATTTGTGTCTCCTCCTGGGATCTTTACACATTCACCTAACAAGTGAAAGTCATAAAATATGAAGTATATCTTACTTGTTAAAACCATACAACTAGTTTTGTGTCAATTGTGTTCTACGTTATTGAATAAGTAAACTTGCCGGTCACTGGACTGCAAAAATCAGTGCTTGATGCTTGATAAACTGGGGCTGATGCATTTGCCTATTCAAACTTTCTGGAAGAGGATCTGATAAGAAATCCCTTGTGCGGTTAAAACTAGGCTGAGCAGCAAACTAGAAACCAGGTTTGTCAAAGGAAGAGAGGTAACAGGAGGTGAATGGTGCTGTGTGTCATCAGGGTTATCTCACAGGAACCTCCCATCACAGATGTTTCATTGTGTTTGACCCCACAACATCTCCAGAAGGCTCAGCAGTTAAAAAAAAAAGGGGGGTTGGGGGTGCCCCCACCCACCCCCTACTTTATCTGAAAGGATCTGATGATGGATACTGTTGCATAACAAAGCCACGAGGCTGCACATCTATCATCTCTTAACGAATTAACAGCACTGCAGCCTGGAATTAAATTCTGCTCTGGCTGAAATTTGAAGGAGGCGGCAGTGAAAGCTGCAGGATCAGGTCGTGACCTCTGTCATTCCTTCAGACCAACTCTCCCGAGAACACGGGGAGGGGGGAGTAAAACGAGGAGGTTTTAGGAACAGACAGACGGACTCTTGCTCAAGGCCTCCCCTGGTGTCGAGCAGGGACAGATGCTGCTTTGCTATTCTGGGAAGTTGATTCCAGCGAGGAATTTCTACATGAAAGCAGAAATAGAGGAGCAGGAGGAAGTGGAACAAGTGCAGTCACTACTGTGTGACTGATAAAACGCCATCTTCGCCATCATTAATACTACGATATACAGAGTCACACCGACTCCTCAGAGTAATCTGCACAAGAATATGAAACAGTAAAGAGCCAACCTCATTTCAATGATGACATAAACAGCACAAAAACACAGTGTGCTTGATCTGCCCAGCAACAAACACCAATCAGAGTTAGAGAAGAGCTGGTGAAGCTTTAGCACCTTAAGAACAGGCGTTTTTCTCCGGAGCTGGAAAACATTAAAACCGGAGCTAACAGAGTGCCAATATAAGGACGTATCTTCATCAAATATTGTTTTTCTACTGGATACAGAAAAACTACAAATAACCAGCTGTTTGCAAGCTCAATACATCATTGCTATTTCTTGTTGTGATTGACAAAAGCTCACAAGTTTATATTTTATATCTGGGTCCTATTTTCGTGCATGTAATAACACCGTGCCAAACAGGTCATTTTTAGAAGCAAAAATGGAAACTCGTGACCCAAACTGCCCGCTGTACACATCTATCACAGTTTTCAGACCCCCGTCCCCTGATTGGAGCTGTGCACCGTGTTCCTGTGCAGAGAGATTTATTACCGGAGGCACTCTCAATTTCAGCTGGACTCATAAAGTAGTTTGTTTTTGCCTAATTATACTTGCTTGCTGGATTTGCCACTTTATTAAAACTTTTAATTAATCAGAAGTCTCGAGGTGGCTGAAAAGCACACAATTATTTTTACAATGTGTACACGCTGCACTGTAAGACAGGAACCGAGAGTCACACTGTTTCTATAATCTGTTGAAGAATGAAAAAGAACGAAGAGATTGCAAACATTTCATGCAATTTTGGAAACTTTGTTCTGTATGATGCACAAGATGCAGATATATCCTAAAAATAAGTGTTAGAACTGTCAATCGTCTATTACGCAGAACATCGTGATGTAAACAGTCATCACAGACAAGTGACATTCACTCATGTGGTCTGAACGTTACATTCGAGTCACGCCTGAGACTTTAAAGTTCAGCAGTGGCTGAACCTGAGAACCTGAGGAGTAAACAATCTCCTCTCCATCGAAGCGTTAAATCAAACTTTCCAGGGTCGAAGTTCAACCCCCAGCACCCCACAATCAAAACTACTGCGTGGTTACCTGATACGTCACAGTTCAACAGGTGGACACAGTGATTGGGGCTTTAGAGGGGAACAGCTTTCAATTAAAGAGCTCCTGATGTGGTTCGTATGACTGAAGGCAGCTCCTCTGACAAGCCTGAGGATAAACAGCTCTTTGATAAAGTTGAAAGCTACAAAGGCAAACAGCTGCTGTCAGCAGGTCTGAATATCTTTATACCACAAACAATGGAACTGGGCAAATGGCAAGTTTGCTTAATGATTGTTAACCAGGATCCCAGACTGAAATCTTAGCACAAAGTTTAGCAGCTGAAACCAATCAAACATAACATTTTGAGCACTCACAGGTAAAGTGAATAACACGGATTATCTCTTCATTATGCCACCTGTTAGTCGGTGGGATATATTAGGGGGCGAGTTAGTCCTCAGAAGCAGGAAAAATAGGGAAGCGTAAGGATTTAAGCGAGTTTGACGAGGACCAAATTGTGATGGCCCGGCGGCTGGGTCAGAGCATCTCAAAAACTGCAGCTGGGGGTTCCCAGTCTGCAGAGGTCAGTATCTATCAATAAGCGATCCAAGGAAGGAACAGTAGTGACCCTGGACATGTGAGGCTCGCACCTTCAGGGGTCCGGTGGAGTCCATGCCTTGATGGTTCAGGACTGTTTTGGCAGCAAAATGTGGGCCAACGTAATATTACGCAAGTGTACAGAATGTTCTGCCTGATTGGTCTATAAGACAATAAATATATGACAACCCACAGCATCCTAAAAAGCACTCAAAGGATCATCTTTGTCTGCGTCCCTGTAGCCCTGAGGGCCAAAAGCCAGACTAGCAACTCAAATGCATTTGTTCTTGAAGAACAACACTCACTGGGATCAGGAATGATTCAATTTCATGTTACCACCAACTGGCAAACATCTGGTGTGGTGACACTCCCCCAAAGACTGACGAAGCATCCAAATAGTGCGGAGGTCACCACCCAAAGCACCTGTTGCACAAAACTCTGCATGTGTGCAAAGATATAGCTCTCACATGAAAGAAACATCTGAACCACTCAATTAATGACCAACATGCTAAACTGCCATAACGTCAGCTGGATACAAAGGCAGCTGGTATCGATCCGACCCTCAGCAATGGAGTCTCTCCGTTTAAGCAGCTTTGAGAAAACAGCCTGAGACAGACAAAGCTGACCATTCATCCAAACAATGCTAGGAAGACCAAGTGGTCTGGGTGTGGATCCATAAAAAGTGATTGGTAGAGTAGAACACACCCCACCGCCCCAGCAGCAGCAGCTACAGCCACATTTCTCAGCATTAATAACCCCACAACCCCACCCACCTAAAATCCAATACAAATCCATTCCCAACCCCCAAATGCCAGGGTGGTGCTGGTGGTGGGGGAGGGGTGGACGGCTCCTCCAGGACAGCTGGGTGTATAAAAATAAAAGCCCCCGACCAGCTGTGAGTGTGAGAAATGTCCCATCCTCACCAACACCACACCCCTGACTCACTGTGAATTAAATACGCAGACAAATGGAGGGCTTACTAAATTTATACACGTGCAGACGAGAAAGATTTAATCACACGAGGGAAAGCGTGAGTGCAGGAGCAGCTAGGGAGACCTGCACTATGGGAGGAGTGGTAGAAGGTAGTGTGTTTAATTGGTTTGCTTGAACAGGGTTGGGCCTTAAGACGCATCAAAGTGAGAAAGACATTTTCATCCAAGTTATTTCATTCTAACAGTTTTTAATAGGGATTTACAGCAGATTTCATGAAAGAATACAAGAAATATGGTCTAATATAAACAGTCTAATCAACTCAGAGTTTAAATCGAACTGATGTGGACATTTTTACCCTATTTTGTTCTAAAGACCAAAGAATTCACTGATAATATGAAAAAAAAAAAACCCAAAAACAAATAAATCAATCATCCAATATAGACATAGTAAAACTTACCTGCACAATATCACTGAGGTCCAAGAGCATGTCTGAGAAAAACCAGGTCAAGGACACTAAATGTTCAGGTCATGATTTGTATTTTTCCAAACAGTCAAACAGAAGAAGAGCCAGGCTGTCATCGTTTTTAGGTGACCTTGAACAACAGTTCTCCAGGTTCTCTGAAGGTCTTTACTTTTGACGTTGGCTGTTTTTCCCACTCATTTTCACTCAAGTCCTTGTACATTACATTTCAAAATGTTTGTTAAGCAACTTAAAAGATTGACCTCTGAGTCATTCAAGCATAAAACAAACAAACAAACAAACAAAAAGTTATGTACTCAGTGGATGAGCCAGAGTTTTATCTACATATAACAGCATATTTAGCAAAGAGCTGAGGTTAAATGACACTTTGTTACTGTTTCTTTGGTAAACACCAACAGTGTTAGTATTTTCTGCAGTCCTAAAAATCTCTTTAGGGCAGATAAACAGTATTTGAAATCATGTCATATCCTGACAGATGCATTTGGCCTTTCAGCTGAGTCATCTACCGTTTGCTGAAGCCTCATCAGAAAGGGTCTCAGTAAAAGGATGGCTGTCAAAGTAATTCGTAAAGAAAGAAATGAAGCAATCAAAATTACACAAGAACTGGAATGAAAATCTGTGGCAAAAATGTCCAATTTGTGATGAACAAAAATGAGATGTTTTGCTTCAAATTAACTTCAATATACATGAAGGAAAGAGACAGGACAGCCATCAGCAGGCTACAGCCATCTGTAAAACACGGTAGAAGCTCTGTCATGGTTTGGGTCTATATTTCAGTCTGGTGCTGGAGCTTCTTCTGTAATTATTAATGCAGAAGAGATCCATCAGCTACCATTTAATAGCATCTGAATGACAACTTTGTTGTTCAGGATGACAATGATCCCAAACCAGTGCTAATGCAGTGAAAGCCAACCTGGATAGAACAAAATAACACAGCAAAACTCACCAGACCCAGAGCCCAACATCACTGTGGCAGTGTGGAATCATTTTAACAGAACAAATAAAAAGGTAGCCAGCACCCTCTAGGAAGCCCGAAGAACCATTTTCATGATTTTCAAGCTCGTCTGAATTACAGAAACTCTATTTTTGTCTTATAAATGTGTATTTTTGAGCTTTTTAACTACACCTAGTCCCCATCCTCCTGAAATGTAAAGAAATGATGGGTGGTTCAAGAGTTTTGCACTGTACTATGAATATAAAGACAGTTTTATAGATCCCCCCCCACCCACCCACGAAACTAAGCGCAGGTAGATTTCCTGATTGTATGACTTCGCACATGCTCAGAGGGCACCAGCATAACCTTAACGACCAAATTAAAATTCAGTGAACACAAATCAAATGACACCCAAGTGTCACTTTTAACCAGGCGACTCTTCAACAACAATAATAAGGGATTGCATTTATATAGCGCTTTTCGAGACCCTTAAAGCACTTTTACAATTTCACTATTCATTCATACACACACTGGTGGAGGCAGCTACAGGTGTAGCCACAGCTGCCCTGGGGCAGACTGACAGAGGCGAGGCTGCCATATCGCGCCATCGGCCCCTCTGGCCAACACCAGTAGGCGGTAAGTGAAGTGTCAACGACCGAGACTGTCCAAGCCGGGGCTCGAACCGGCAACCTTCTGATTACAAGACAAACTGCCAACTCTTGAGCCACGATCGCCCAATAGGCCTAACAAAAAGACACAACATGCCTGACCAGGGTCTGGATAGCTTGTCCTCCCAGTGCCCGACCAGCTTGAACACACTGGTCTCTATGGCGACAGGTGCACCTGTCTCCAGGCTGCCTATGTGGATTAGCAGAGCTCCTCTGAAAAAGACCGCACAATGGAATTAGCAGCAGTGCAGATGAAATGCAAAAAGATAATCCCAGCACATCCCGTCTGGAAAGTGCAGATGATTCCATTAATCAGGAAAATAAAGAGCAGCAGGCCCTTCAACACATCTGGACCGTGGGGTGAGGGGGCTACTTAGATCTTATACAACAGCAGGAGAGATCAGAGGATATTTAATCCTCTGATCTCCCCCCCTCCTCCCCCCGTTACACATCTTAGTGGCTCTTATAATATTTCACATCAGTCACAAGTCCGTACTTATATTAAACAGCATTTGATTGCAGCAGCCATTCCTGTTAATGCTGGTCAATAATTCTTCTTAATGCATTTTGCCTCTAAATTTGCAGCCCTCAGACCTGATGTTTAACTATGAAATTGAGAAGTTGAGATACCTTGGGTTGGGGTGGGGGACATAAACCCTGGCCGATCAATTCAGTGTTATTTTTAAACTCAACAACGACACCAAAGCTTAAAGACAGGTCCATAAAGAAAAGGTTTTCCCACTTTGCCCTGACCTCAATCCATCAGCACCTTTGGGATGAACTGGAGCACAAGCTGTGAGTCAGACCTCATCAGCCAACATCAGTGTTGGACCCCATTATTGCCCCTGTGGCTGAATGGGAACAAATCTCAGCTACAAAAACCTGCTGAAAGCCTGAAACACCAAGAGAGTGGAGGAGCAACAGATTAATGCGCGTGGTTTGGACATGAGATGCCCTGCAAAACCAAAAGAACTGAGTAGACTGCTGTGCAGAATAAAACAGGTAAAGGCTGTTGTTGTTGTTTCACACCAGACGCTTTATGGAAATGACCGCCCGTTTGTGTGTCTCTAACTGTAATTATCTGGCAAAAAAATGATCACACCAGGTACCATTTCCAAAAATAACAGTCCGAGCAGTTTTGAGGACAGACTGCCTTAAAAGAGGTAAAAAGACCCAAAGTTTCTGGAGCGAGATCAGAGAGGCGGTGTGATGCAGCCAGGAGGCGGCTGTGGCTGCAGAGTAATTGCCCTACTTTCTGAGTGTGGCCACTCTCAGAAGGACACACTCAGAGGTCCATCAACATGTAAGAAGAGACTGTATTCAGCTGCAGTGAAAGAAGTTAATGATGGTAAAAGGCTTAAATAAATTCTGTATAATTTTATCATTTAAAACCTTGTTTTTGTTTTATTTCAGTAAAAACCTGGTCCTTAGTGCAAGACTCCAGTTCATCCACCGTCAGAAGCAAGCCATTTTAATGCCAACCTCCCTTAAAGTAGCTTTCTTCTACTCGCAGATCGCTCTGTTAGGCACGTCCCCTCTCAGTGACATCATACAGAACCAAGAGACAAGGCTAAAGATCCATGGTCAAGATGGATTGGACACATGCAGAGGAGGGACAGTGGATATAACTGGACAAAAGATGTCAAAGATGGATCTTACAGGCGGGAGGAAAAGTAGAAGACAGAGAAGGGTCATGGATATACTGAGAGCACAACAGGATGCTAAGCATAGGATGAGATGGAGGCAGATGATTCGCCACAGTGAAGAAGAAGCATAACATAAACAAGAGGTTTATGGGAAACTACTGAATTATGAGACAGCAGGAAAACTGAAAATAGAAAGAATGTATTGAAGGAAGATCAGAAAGACAAACAGAAAATTCACAACACATGAACGATCGGTGAGCGTCTGAAAATGGATGAATGATCCCAACAGTGTGGCCGCTCCTCGTAAATTAAACCCCAGGTTTGACGGATGTTTCCCTTTTTTACTCCACTCTCCTTCTCCTTCCGTCTTTGTCCTCATCCTCCCCTGCGACAACATTACAGAATCACCCAGCTGTGGAAAAGGAAGTGAGCGGAGCTATTTTTACCCCAGTGACACTCTTCAAAACATGCACAAACAGACAGGCCTGCGCCAACACGCGCGCACACACACAAACACAAAAGCCCAGCAAACAATGCAGCAGGAATGCATTACACCCTGCTCGCCTCTTTTCATTAGGCAAACCTATCCCGGCCGTTCTGTGCAGCAGTTACATAACGCAATCACCCTCGGAGGTGACTGAGTCAGGAGTGAACCCACACTGAGAGCAGAAAAAAAATAAATAAAGAGCTTCTGTGCTTATGAAAAAAGGATGAACCAAAAAGTCCCATTATCCCGATGATGACACATCACTCTCGACTTCAATAAGCTGCCGTTAGCGCTGTATGAAACATTTAGAAAGGCGGTGACAGGCGGCCCGGCCTCCGCAGGCTCACATCAAAAGCAACCTGCTGGCTTTATTGTGCCACCCTCCATCGGTATAAAAGGCGGGTTTGCAAATTTAACTTGCAACTTTGTCTCAGCTAATACTGAACATCTGCTCAACCGCTGCAGGAGGAGCGTGATTGAAAGGAAAGGGTTCCCTGGTGCATGCAGGAAAAGCAGCTCGGTTATGGAGGAAACTTCTTTGATCAGGCTTCCCCTCAGAGAGCATTCTTCATTACATTCATTTAAACCAACACACACAGGCAGATGGCTAACTTGCCAGCTTGACACACTTCAAATTTATCATTCTAGTTCAACTCAGCCTGATGTAGTTCCCATTAATCTCTCAATTTTGGCTCTCGGAGTCATGCTAATTTGCATCCCTTGACCCTACACATCAGACAGACACACTTACAGCCTAGAAAGTCAGCTAGCAAACAAAACTACAAAGCTGATGTTTAAGGCAGATGGTGTATTGAGTGGTGAGACCGAGAACTATTTTCTGTTGCGAAAGAGGGACACATATCTGTTTGCCATGAGACAATCGCTTACAAGATGCCAGATATATGGCACCGCGGACACGTAACACAAGCAGTAAGAGGCATGCAGAAAAATATGTTTTGTGTGTTTCTTCTAAGAAGGGACAGAGCTGTGAAGGCAAGCTTCATCCATAAAACAGGATGAAGCACAGCATCGCCATGGTAGGCCGTTCAGAGGGTGACTTTCATATAAACACAGGCAAAGACCTTCAATTTGCTGATACTTAATCATTATTTTGCTCTTATATCCAGATGTATTTTCTTTGTAAATGCTCCATGAATACATTATTTAGACAAGTGAAATAATGCAGTCGAGCAGGATATGTAAAAGCAACCTATGCTGGACATTTTATTTTATTATTCTGAGCAGAAAGGATACGCGGCGTTCCCTCGGTTCGGCAGACCATGTAGATGCAGGCGGCGATGACGTGGGAGGCTTTGCGGCCACGGGTCAGGTGTTTGATGAGTGCCATCTTGTAGAAGTTCAAAGCTGTGTCCATATGGTGCTGGTTCATCTGTAGCTGGTTCCCCACGATGCTGATGTGCTGTTTCGCTGGGGACACAAACAGACAGACATCGGCTCACAGAAACAAAGAAAAGTACAAGAGTTCTGCAACCTGCAGACTTTTAGGATCGATACAGAAAAGAAGAAAAACAAGTTTCAGGGGAGAGCTCAGCGTGTGACTGCAAGGTTTGTCTCCTGCCTGCATGAGTGCGCCCAGAAGCTGTCATGGAAAATAATTCTTGCATATTGGAAGCTTTGACTTGATGACGACATGTGATTCAATAAATTTACAGGGAGAATTTCATGGAAGTCCAAGTGATTTTTTCCAAAGAAATCTGACACATATCATCTATGACTATCCAAGAAGATTTAGTTGAAATGTAAGTGAAAGATGGACACGTGGAGAGTTAGTTTCTTTTCTGTGGATGTGTTTAAGAAGCAAATCATCACATCCAAAGAAAAACATGCCCTCCATACTCGCCTCATTTTAGGTTTATTATGACAGCAAAAATCGCTTTGGTGTCTTCTGAAAAAATAAAAATTCAGAAAGTTGTTACAATTAAGGGCATCATCCAAAAACAGTAATACGCTCCAGCATCCATTCAGTCAAAAACAATAAAGTATACCAATCAGACCCAGTTTAAAGTTTAAAGCCGGATATAACTCCCAGATCTAAAAAGTAAAGACAACAATGGTGCCCAAACCTTCCATTCTTTTACAGGAGACTATGGGCAAAAAGTCCATCGGCTCCATTCCTGATGATTTTAAAGGCTCACTCACTCATTTAATCATATTTAACAGAACATTATGTTCATTTTTTTAAATTTTGGTCATTCTAAAGTGGCGTACACACAGAAAGCTATTCATCTGTCATGCATCATTCTGTGGCTGATGGTCATACCAAGCTCCTATTGCCTCAGTACCTCTCTAATGAATATACCATGCTGGAATATGTCAATCAGTGATACACTGAGCCCATAACCCCTTCAGTCACTTGCCTCAACAACTAGAAAAGTTTAATTCAGAATTTACCCACTGTGCATCACCAGGAGTTATTTTGCCCACAGTTGCTTAAGCTCAGCAATTGTCATCAACTTTCTCTAGCAACTCAACATGGGCCTGAATTCCATGGTCATTTGGGCTTTTCACGATTTCTCTGGACTTTTATTTTACCAGGATGGAATAATTGCACGGCATACATCTTTGATGCCTTTAAATATATACTGTACATACATTCACTTAAATATTTTAAGCGGTGTTCAAGGTTCTACGGTTTCTTATCTTAATGAGGCTCAGTGTTAACTTTGTGTTACCTTTTGATCATAATTGTGATTGTAATTGAAAACAACTGGTAGTTTATCTTCACCAGAATGAATCACATTTGACAGCATTCACTGGACCAATGCAGGGAACAATGAGAAAGTCCAAGGAACTCAATCAAGATCTAAGAAAGCGAACTGTAGATTTACACAAAGATCTCTCGAGCCATTTCTAAACAACTTCAGATTCCTAGATCAGTTTAAACAACTGTATATAAGTGGAAGTTACTCAGATGTGTCACCACTTTGCCAACGTCTGGATGAACCCAAACTGCCAGCCTCAGATTAGAGGAAGTTGTTTATAATGTTCAGGAAAAACTCAGAAATTCCATGGACTGAAAGTGCCGGCCAAGAAAGAAGCTCCAAAATCAACTCTTTCAAACTCGACCTAAATTTGCAGCTGTCCATATGGACGACCTTTGCGACAAGCGTTTTAAGGACATCCAGGATATAAAAATTTTTTTTTTTTAAAAAACATGGCAAGAGCAAAAATGCTCAGCTCAAGGCTCCATAACAGGACTTTGCAAATCAATGGGTGACGTCACAGACGCTAGATCCATCCACTATACCGTATATGATAAATCCAAGCAGAACCCTACATGGCAATAATAATCCTTTAGGGAACAGCCTCCCCCAGTAGTACAAGGTGTCGTTTGTTCAGTCTTCCTCACATCAGCCCCAAGCGCTCGGGGCAGATGGCTGACCTGAGCCTGGCTCTGATGAAGGTTTCTTCCTGTTTTAATCCTACTGTCGCCAAGTTCTTGCTCAAAGGGGATCATCTGATTCTCTCTATTATTGTAGCGTTTTTTAAGTTTAAAGCATCTTGAGATGACTGTTATGATTTGGTGCTATATAAGTAAAATTAAATTGAATTGAATTACCTCCTATAGGAAAACTAAACAACCCATCAGACAGTAAAACAACAGTCCATATTCAGAGCAATAAAAAAAGCATTCTGTTAGCAGTTTGCTACATCAGTATGGTGGTAATTACACAAGCATCACTTTATGCCCAGCATCGTCTACAAGCATGTCGGGGCACACACACCTGTAGAGAGGCAGACTGATTTCATTATACACACGTGTGCAAATGTAAATGGGCACACAAAGACCTGCATAACCACATCTTTACACGCAAATAACAGAAAAAACACATTTTCCACAGCTCAGTGCACGGACCAGTACAGGTGTAGCCACAGGTGGAGGCTCCAGAGAGACTTTATAATTACAGTGCTGCAATGCATTTCTGTGAGTTCGTGACCTCAGATAAGCTCCACATGTCAAACATTCTCATGCACGCAACCAGATGTGTGTAACCTACTAAACTGAGTTGGGTGTCTGGGAATGTGAGAGACTCGGCTCATCGTGTCTCATCGTACTGCTCCAGCCTATGTCAACACGAGCTCGTCAGACATACGCATACCCCATCGCCGTCAGCCTAAACCACGTCTGGATGAGTGTTTGTGGTCTTGATCTCTTGCGTCACCAGCTCTAATAAAACTGTACGTGCTAGTTTGGCAGCAGAGAATTTTATGCACAAAATTGATTGTTGTGGCCTTAGTAAATCCAGTAGAATGAATAATCCTGGGTTATACGTCTTCTCCTATTATTTGACTAATCCTCCTACAATTCATATGCAATAAATGCAGTATGTTTGTCTCTCTGTGAGCTCCTGGATTAAGACGCTCACATGTAGCTGCAACAACTCTGCTTAGAGGCCTGACAGAGACGTTTGTTTCATTTCATCACAGTGTTATAGAACTGTGGCGGGAAAAAGGGTCAAATTTTGATCACCAAGTTTCTTATTTTACATAATTAAATGATGTTTAAATGTTTACTTTACGACATGGAGAGAACTGTAACGTTACTGTCAGGACAAAGTTTTCTACAAGATAAATGCGACAGCCGGGGTGGGAGGAAGTCTTTTACTACATCACCAAAGCACCATCCTATTGTTAAGATACCAATTGTTGTCCACAGAATAGATAATCGGGTGTAGGTAGCTGCTCTCTAAAGCTGTGTTTGCACAGATGTGGAGAGCCCTGTTTATTCACAGATAGAGGGCAAGTATGAGGAGAAAGGTTAGACCAACCGCTGAGCGCTGAGTCACAGTTAACTGTGTTCACATACAGGAATGGATGATTAACGCCACAGTAAGTAATTAGTGGACATAAGTGGACAGACAGCCAAAACAGGTAAAACAGCTTCTCCGACTATGATGGTTCATTTTACATCTAATTAAAGGTAACAGTAGAGTTATAGGATAGTTAGCTTAAGTTATTTAACAGTGAAAAAAGTACTCAAAAATATATAGTGATTAGTGCAATTACACATCAATTTGTTGGAAGACAAATTCACACATTCTCATGAACTTCGAAATAATCGATTAAAAATACATAGGAGTGAGCACCAGTTTGTGAAAGTCACCATGTTGCCCCGACATACATAAAACATGTTACATATGTGGTTAGAAACAAATCACAGTCACAAATCGCTCTTTCAAACTGTGACAATTTAACATTTGCCGTTTTCTCTCCTCTCTCAGTTGCACCTCTTCCTCCTGACCTAAAGCCTCACCTCCTGAACTTGTCAGGGCTGTAACACAAGTTCAAGTTCAAATTTTATTCACCACATACAGTGGCAGGTTGCCCTGCAGTGGAATGAACCTGCCCCCCGACCATACACACACACACACACACACACACACGGGGATACATGTCAGAGAACGGTTGCATTACAGAAAAAAAACACTGAAATGTACACTACAATGGGAAAGTGCAAGAGGAAAAAAAGAGACCTCTGCTCATGCTGGGCTATAGAGGACAGCATGAGAACAGGAAACAAAAACTCTGCACAGAAAGCAGATAAATGTCCACAGTACAACATTATGTTTACACCTGAAAACATGCATAAACATGTTTATTTATTCCTGATATTGTCGCAATCACTTATCATCAGCAGATCAGACATGCAATCCTCCAGTCTCTGGACACCTGAAAAGCAACAACAGTAGCTTGTTATTAGCTAACATTAGGCCCGAGTGTCCTCAAAATCCCACAATCCCTGTGATAAACAGCTTGGAACCAAAATATTTTTAAAATGGGGGCTGCCCCCCAATACAAGGTTTTAAAAAAGGGAAGAATAAGGCACTGAAGTTGTTGCATCCTTTGCGAAAATGTTCGCTGCCATCCTCTCAAACCAAGTTTGCGTCACAGATAAGTAGGACAGAGTCTCAGGATGCAGCTTTAATTAGAGCTCTTCCTCACAGGTTAAAGTTAGATTACTGGCCTTTACCTCACTCTTCAGCTCAAACCCCCAAACACTCCGTAATCGGAGGCTCTAAATAAAAAAATAAACACCACCTTATAACATTCACACTGACACAAACTGGGACACCCTGAAGGAGAGTGGCATTTACACATACATCTGATGGAACCATCCAGGGAGCTATAAATGCACTCCAGTCTGTTTTTCTTTCTAAAGAGGTAAGATAAGGACAGCAAAGACGAACATGTACACCGCTCAACAAAGTGGAGGAGATATAGGCCAGTTAAATCTTTCAGTGTCTCACTGACAGCCGTATTAAACCAAACACGGTGTTTGCAGTAAAGAAAGAAGAAGGCAGAAAATGTGACTGGACGTGCGATGCTGAAGTACAGACAGTCTGAATGAATGACGAGTTCATTAATGGCAGATTGACTTTTTTAGAACTGGCCTGCATCGTTGTTAC